ATAATATAATTTTATGTAATGGAACCAATTAAGTATAGATAGTCGAGTCAAATCGGGAGCAATTTGACAACAGTGTTTTTTAGTATTTTAATTACCTAGTAGGTTATCTGATGATTGTTCGTTACATGTTTACAAATAAAATGGTTAACAATATAAACAAAATCTCTATATGCGACGGTATTATATTATGTTATAGCGTTTTAGAATTAAAAGTTCAAACGCCCATAGAAAAACCCGTTAATTCAATAAAATATACGTATATCATATAAAATACATAAAAAATACGGTAAATATTCTTTAGTAAGATTATTATTTTTTTTATCTAGGTAAGTTACACAGGTTATTATTTTTATCGTTATTGCCTATTATTGTTATATTAATTATATATACACATATTTATATTTATAAAGCTTAATAGATTTATCATAAAACAAATGGTTTTCAAAGATAAGCCAACAAGACACGTACTTAATATAATTTAAATACCTGTGCAGATATTACTGTTGACATCTGACGATGTGATGCAGGTATCTGCAGCGGTCTTATCGTAAATACTTTGGAATTCGCGAGTTTTCATTGAAACGCTGTTGGCGCGCTTCAAGGTCGCTGCGACAACATTCTCGTTATCAGCCCAACTGCGACCGCTGCAGCCGGGTGTCGAAATGTTTCTTATGATCTGCTGAGTGTTGTTTTCCGAGTGCGTAGTAACAGCAGTATTTCTAGAACGATAAATATAATATAATAATATAATAAACTCTCATGACAACACAATACGCGCGTCATCATAATAATATTATCATATTTACGCGATTGTCACCTTGAAAAACATACTTTTTAACGGCATTGATTTCGCTGGGAGTCACAGGCTGCGTGCGAAACCTCGTCCGGTCGCGGACGCCACGCGCGTGTTGCAGTCTGCAGTCACGGATGATGCTGGGAGCATCTCGGACRACTCCGGACTCCAGGTCGGATATCCGCTGGGCGACCGATGGTCGTTTGGACGACGAACTACAATTATTGGTCAGACCGTCAGCTGTTGCCGTAGACTTCAGGATAGGCCTTTTGTCGTCCGCCGCCGCTGACAAAATCTTCTTCAAAATTGGCTTGGGACAATCTCGGTTTGACTCTTCCACCATTGTCGTCTGACAGCGATCCCGAAGCGGATGGACATCCCGCTCGCCACGCCTCTTCAGTATGCCATGTGATGGCGGTTCCGGTGAAGGTTCACTCGTTTTCCGTTTCAAAATCGAATGGAGTTCGCTGAAGTGGTTGCCCAGCAACGTCTCATCGTCGCAAGACTGACAGCGATTTTTCAAAATAGGTTTCTGTGTCGACTCATCGTCAAAACTGGCCGACTGCTTTTTTAATATGCCCTGCCTACAGAACGACTTGTGGTTGGACGTTTTTAAGGAACATTGCTGTAGCCGAGGGTCGGCGTTGACATCCGCCTTTGTGACGGACGTCGGACTCGGACCGTCTTCGTCTGCGGGCATTATTTCAAGAGATTTCCGTTTCAAAATTGATTTGGAACTATTTGGTTGATGGCGCAGATAGTGGGGTTGGTGGTGGTGGTCCATACTACTGCTGCAGTGACGATTATTAAAATTATTGATATGTGAAATTTGATTCGGCAAGTTCAATGGAATAATATTGTGTTCGAACGAATAACAATTACTTATATACGACTCTGATAAATAATTAGGGCATTTTGAGCTGAAAAAAAAAAATAGTTACAATATAGTATATTCACTATTTACGTACTATGATTTTTGTTACATCGCGTAATAACAACTAGCCGAGTTGGATCGAAGTGCGTGAATTAATGAATAACATCTTTCCTAACAGCAATAATGCAACCTTACATGGTTTGAGAGTAACAGATCCCCTCCAGTATTTAATAGACCTTCACAATCGAATGATTTACCGTCATTTTAACATTAATGAAAGGTACCTTAGCGTTTTCCAGCTTTGGTCTATTACACGCTCAATGATTTTAGTGAAATCTGACAATATATAGACTAGGTTCATGGAAAACAAAGAAAATATCGTTAAGTCTAGCACGGTTCTACAATATTTCGTCACAACGATGGTTTATCAAAACATATTAAATATTATTGCTATCATTACTTATTACGGTAAAATATTTCTAAGATAAACTATTTTGTCGACATATATGACATCATCAGCATGTATATACACCTATTATACACGATAAAGTTGAATTTACATAATACACATAAACATGGKTAATCGAATAATCTGTGGTATTATAATATACTGTAATTCTAAAAAACATATGAATTTAATCTTCTCACTGCAGTCATGATTTTTAAATWATTTATTTATATAGGTAATCCTTGAAATATTATTCTAAAAAAGAGTAGTAAAACTTTTTTTTTAAGTTGGTTGTTATTCTATACAATCAACTATTTAACTACAAAGTATAGGTTTGAAAAATATATCAAATTATTTTTACCGTTTTTACAAAACTATAAAAACTGTATGGTTATTATTAAAAAAAAAAAAAATGTTTCATAGAAAATAGTTTTACTGATTAATATTTCACGATTGAAACATAATTAAATATAATCAGCAAAAAAATGAAAAATGTTCAGAATTAATATTAACGAATGACTAATTAGTGTAAATATAGTTTGTATTGTCTTTGGTTTTAATATACAAAATAATATTTGACAACCGCGATCAGTAACTAATGACTTACAAGTTACAAGTCTAAATTTTATAATATTAAATGATTAATAGTAATTATAATATGTATTTTGTTAAGCAATTAACAAATATTACTTTAATTTTATTATGAATTGAAAAAATCAGTTTTAAAATATTACTAGTGGAAAACAGAATAAAATTACAACATGAGTAAGCGTTTTGTAAATTGTAAATTTGAATATTATTTTTTTTCTTTTAGAGACTTATTTAAGTTTTAAGTAAAAGTTTTCATGGATTCATACGGGAAAATAAATAAAAGGTTTTGTCGGTATTGTTGGTGTTGCTGTTACCATGATTATTATAGGTAGTACCTACCTATCTAGTCAAATCCAATATACAATTAAAAAAAAAAAAAAAATGGTAGATAGGTAGTGTAATTAATACTGATAATAGTAATATTGAATAACAACCATAGATATATTGTATAAATAAAAAAGATAAATTCTATAATTTCAGTAACATAACATGTTACTACATGGTGTTATCATTAAGGTATTTATCGAGTAATTTTTCACTATTAAAAATATACTTTTTTTGTAGGACAWGTTGTTAGGTACCTACCTAATTTTTTATAACTACGCCATAGATTTTTAACTTTTATCTAAACCGACAATTTTTAAACAACAAAATAAATTTATTCGTTCTTTTCAAACCACAAGTTTAATATTATTCACCTATTTAATATTTATGAAATTAATTAAAAATAATATATTACAATTTATTAAAACTTTCAAATTAAATTCTTACATTGTATATATTTTAATTTGATTGCAGAATTACTTATGTAGTTACGTGTTATGATAATTTTAGAATAACAATCACACTATACAATACCTATAGCTATTATTGTCATGTATACTAAGTGTGCAAGATGTTAAAAATATAGGTACATTTTGTGTGGTAATGTATTTAAATTTACTTACATCATAATACGTTGGAGTTTTTCCGGTTTTAAACGTTAAGATACATTCCAGTCGTCCTGAAAAACAATCACGTACTCATTTAAAATTAATAATGTATTATATTGGTACATATAAGTAGGTTACAATAGTTAGAAATATTAGTAACAAAATACTAGTTGTTATTTTATAATTCAGGAATAGTTTTTTTATAGGCATGTGCTTAACAGTACATAAAATGTGTGATTTGTGTTTAGACTAATATAAGTAAGTAGGTATTATAATGGTATGTGCACTGCGTTGTTAAAAACAATATTTAGGCTTTCCACTACATATCTCTATACCTTGAGGCCCACAAATCTCGAAAATTAGTTTATGCATAATATCTACTATACACATATAAACGGTGTACATAAGCAGGTAGGCATAATAGAGAGGAAAAGCAAGTTGCGCAGATATCTTCGGGGCTAAAATATATACACAGTAAATAATTCGAGAATTCGATATACAGAGAAAGTTGTCACTAATCAATAATTGTCAAAGTGAACAAAATAAGAAAGTTAACCWCCTCGTCCGACGATTTAATGTTTTATGTATACGAGTTGCAAAAAACACGAGAATAATGATTTAATTTTTAAAACTCGACCGTTAACTATTTATGTTAGGAGCACAATTTAATTTAATTCAGTGAACAGAGACATCTTTAATAATATGGTATATAGATATCGTAGATTGATTCGATATAATTTAATATTTATGAATAAAATATTGTATGTATATGAAAAAAATTAGTTAAAACAATTGTTATGTTTTAAACAAAATCATTATTATTATTTGACAAAATGACACACCTTTGAAGCGTGTCTTCATTGTAAACTGTTCGTGTTACTTTATTTGGCGGGTCAAGATTAAATTTAATTATCATACCATAGTATACATCTACATCTATACATAAACCATACTTTTGTGTGTTAATCTTCTGTCATTATATTTTTGAAACTCAATATGTTTTTATTTTTTTTTTCTACTGACTACATATATTATTACAATACAGGTAGTATTATACTTATATACATAATAGACGATACAATGACAACAGCGACAGCCTGCACTGACTAAATTGCTCAGGCGGAGAGTGATTGAGATATGATATCTAAGGAGGGGGAGGGATAAGGAAAATAATCAACTGTGTAATAATAATAATAATAATAATATTTAATATGTGTTGTGCAGTTTTTATTTTCTCCCAGCGTGTACATTGCATTATTATATTACGAAACTGACTAAACGTACCATACGTACACAAATATATTTGGTTTAATCCTAACACCTACATATGTATATATAATATATACAGGAGTAAAAATAAATAGTAATAATAATAATAGTTATAATTATGGTAGTAAATAAATAAAAAAAGCGACAAAAAGCTTAAATATTAATTCAACAAAATTGTACAAGAGCGTATTATAACTTCACGAAAAGCGTCTACACAGATGTAAAGTTATGAGAAAGATCAACGCTATAAAAGTGCCGAACGCGTTTACACTAAATAATTGATACATATATATTGTGATGTACAAGCACACCTCCAGATATCCGGGCATACGGTTTGGATACTCCGTCGACGGCACACTAGCGATAGATAGGGATGATGACGATGAAGATGATGATGATAATGATAAAAAGTCTTTACTAAGTTGTTTATCATTAGAAAATTCGGTTCGGTTTTCGGATGCTGCATTTGCAGGAGAAGTAACGGCTGAATTGAACACCACACGTGTAGGTCCGTTGCCAATGTGTAGGCGATCGGTCTTTGGATTGGCGACGGCGGATGAGAGAGTATTGTCTGGTTGCTTGACTATGGCACAGACACGGGTTTTATTTTCTTCGTTATATTTAGTAACTTTGTATTTTATATTTTCGTCTTGTACGCGTTTATTTCCTACCACCATGAAACCATCGTTAGATCTGTTATCAGCCGATCGTAGATACCTATGGGCGTACTCACGTTTGATGAGCTCTCTGAAATTCGGTTGGTTTTTATTGTTAACGCTCTTGTACGTCAAACCTAAATTTGTGRATTGCGTGGACGCGCTAGGTGTTTTCCTAGCCGCGTATTTTACATTGTCGGTTGCATAATTTGTAGCGTGATAACTTTTAGAGCACTTTAGAGCAACGGGCGATGCTTTATTTACGTTCCGTTCGTTCGATAACGGACGAATAAATTTTAATTTTAACGGTGGTGCATCTTTTGCAATACAAGTGTCATTCGTTAAACATAATTTATGATGATCATGCTGTAATAAGTTCGTGCAAAAAAGCGACTTACTCAATTGATTGGSTTCGCTAAAAGTGAATCCTGTCAGCATAATTGGTTTATGATGATCTATTTTGACTACCATCAAGTTTTGTTGGTTGTCAGCTATGATAGAATCATATAAAAGTTTCGTTTCATTTTTTTTATTGTAACTGTAATCAGATGGTCTTTTATTTATAATCCAATGAGTATCGTTTTTTATTCTATTATTATCCAGTTTAGGAATTAGGTCATCAATTYTAAATCGATTTCTATGAACGAAAGAAAAATCAATACAAGTTTTAAACTTATGGTCTTTTCTGAGAGACCTAAATGCTAAATCATCTTCAACAGTGTCCGGTATTTTTCTAGGGTGGAACGAAGGTTTATAACGGCCTTCAGGCACCGCGTGTAAATAATCAGTGGGAGCGGCACTTACGATCGGACCTAAAGGTATTCCAAACGGCGGTTGCGGATCAGAAATCTTTAGAAAGTTGAGGTGTTGTCGCTGGCTTCTGAAAACAACGTCATCCAGTGTAATGTCAGGCTCTCCGGACGACGGTTTAGGTATTTTATCGAGATTATAAACTGTYGGTAAAACTAAGAGGAAACTTCCCGGAATAAAGCTTTGCTGTTTAGATTCTTTTTTATTCAGCCTTCTGTAAGCCATGTCATCAGATATAATATTAGGTACGCCTGACCGCCGGGTCTTGGGCAATGCTCTTTTCACAGTTATACAGTCCAGCTCGTCGAAACTTTGGTATCGCATGTTTTGATGTACTGTAGGAAGGTCACGTCGTTCAGCTCTGTCCAGTAAATCCTCGTCACTTAGTCCTAAACTGTTATACATGTCTTCCAGTTCTTGAAGTGCTTCTTCAACGGTTTGCATTTTTGGTACGGAATTTTCAGATTCAGACGACAGAGTCTCAACGTCACAGATTTGAATGGGTCGTCTACTTCTAGGCGGTTCTTTTATATGGTTTTCTTTTCGACATCCAGTATTATCTACATGAGTCTCGWCTTTATCTGGAATATTATCATTARACCCCTGTGTAAAATATGTCGAATTTGATTCTCGAGACATGAGTCTATTATTTCTAAAATAATAAACCGTTGTAATATTAGGGTCTCTCGGAGGAGGGGGAGGTGGAATCTTCTTACCAATTAATCTGGCCTGATTTACGTATAATTTAGGGTGTTTTTTACTATAGTTAGTATGGTTAGTTTTATATTGGTAATATCCAATATCAGACGAACTTCTTAACGGTACATTTTTTAAAACTGAAGGCGTTTGTTCGTTCTCTTCTTTAATATAACGTGACGATTGGCTACTATTTCCACAACTTCTATACACACCGATATCGCTGTAGCAAGCACTTGAACTAGAGCTATATACGGATTGTTGTGATGTTTTCCATTCGTTTGATGTAGATTGGCTGTTAATATTTGGATACGTGGACATGTGATTTGTATACTGTAATGAATTACATCTTCTTATTTGCCTGGGACTACAAGTGTATTGCTCGATAAGACAGTCAGTAGAACGTTTTAGGTGGTTGTTTTGTGCCACTTTTTGATTTATTTTTCCATCATATGGACAGAAGTCCACACTCTCTTGACTTTTTTTTAATTTCTTTTTTTTTGATAAAATTCCAATTAGTGACCATCTTCTTCGTTTTTTATGACTAATTGTTTCGTTTTTTTCATTTGGCACTGGCATAATTTATAATGGTCTGAAAAATATAATATATTTTGTTATTTCATCAAATTCTATATAGTTAATGAGAATTTAATTAACTTAAATTATGAGAGTGACGTAATTTACATATAACATGAATACATATCACACAGACCTATTTTATTATCTCTCCCTTTTTTTTTTTAATTTGCACATACGTAACTAGACATAACTTATTACTATATTAAGCGGTGAAGTTAACTATTTTCACCTTGAAAATCAAAACAAACAGGAAATTCAAGGAGAAATTAAAATGTCCAAAGTAATATTTGAAGAAGAAAAATGTAGGTTAAATAACTAAAATAAAATAATTATTCATTTTAAAATAGAATTACAATTTATTTTAGGATGTTGAATATTTACATATTTTAATAATATATTACCTTTATAGTCATAAATTTAATATAAATAAATATATAATAAACTTAATGATATTTCATATTTTTTTATATGAATACATAATACATAGAGAGATGGTTAACAGTTTATTGGCTTTAATTTTTATCTGATAAAAAAACTAGTATTTTTAGTTATTCATGAGGAGTATTTTGTTATTTATTTAATTAATTAAGTTAAATGATTAAACAAAATCGAATGATAAAATTAAAAATTACAGCTTACACTCAATAAAATGTTAAAATTTTATAAATCAAGTAATTTGAAGGAAATGTTGAGAATTTATTGGATTATAATTTTAGCTATAATATRTAATATAATTAAGTATAACATTTTATTTTAATATCAATAATTTATATGCGAATCGTTATCAAAATTAATAGTAAATAATAATTCGTAAGTCATTAAGTATTATTTAATATGAATCGCATATGATTATTAATCTACTCAACCATTTACTTCATACAAATCACTTTTTCCTATTATCGCAACATACATTTTATCGCTGTAATTTACTTACAGATATTGCAGTAAAAACAAAGAAATTACTTTCGATACGGTTTGATCTTTGGCACATTCAAATTTTAGTTTATACTTAGCAAGTACAAGAGCAATTTTAATTTTTCATATAATATTGAATACAGATTTTTTACATTTTATTATTTCATAAAAAATATTACCAATTATGCTTTAAAACGACGAAAGCTAACGTTTGACATAACGTAGTATATATAGGTAATATAAATTATCAAATTACGTATAATATAGGTGCCTATTACCCATACGAATAGTATTATGATAATTTAAAAGTATACAAATTGTACCGTCAGATTGAAGAAACTATTAATTAATTTGTCATTTTAAACGGATGAAACTGCAGTAAATTCAATAACTTTATGTTCATAAGTGTGATGATAATTAAATATGATTGAAACTCAGTAATGAACTGGCGTTTATTTAGAAATGGCGAAGCACGTTCAATGAAAATAAAATTTTAACCCGTTGAAGTGCCCCTAATCAACGTATGCTGCAGAATTTTTTTCATTAAGGTCATTTACGATACACACGAAAACCTATTATGATTTACAAGTAAATTTAGTTTATAGGATACAGATTTATATAAAATTATTAAAATAATATTATAATACGCATATTGTAAAATTAATTTTTCAAATTATTAATGTTAATATACATGATTTCATCATAAACAAATCTATTGTAAAAATTTAAATTATTTAGATACCCATAACATAAGACTAGTATAAATATTTATAATAATATTGAGCTAACAAAAACTAATAATGTTAAAATAYATTTTATTTTCTCACTTTAATTTTATTTACTTTTAAAAAATATTTTAATTTGTTATTCAAATCGTATGTATAATTTATTTTTACTTACTCAACATAAAAATGCATTATTTAAGTATAGGTAATAACTATTTTTACACAAAGAATTCTATACTTTATATAACAGCCAATGTGAGTAAGATCTATGTACCTACTATAAAGCTTCACTGATATTTGGACGATGAAAAAATAATTTTAATTCATATCGTATGTTTTTAGGATAGTTATATAACCAGCTGAGTAAACTATTGGCATCTGCTATTACCTTCACGGTTCCACTACTAGGGTAAAATTATTGAGTTATTAGATTGAAACATACAAAATACGATGTTCAATTACAAATTTATAATATCACACTTAAAACAAAACGAATTATGACCTCAATTGTTAAATTCTAAAGTCCGATATTATAATGCATATAAGGTACCTATCGGCTATCATAGATATGACATAATTCGTTTG